AATTTTGATGTACACTTAATTTTTATTTGGTCAAAAGGAACAAAAATTGTATAAATTGTGGGTTATAGTCCATGAAGATAACAAATTTTGAATTGTGTACTCAATATCCATTTACTCCAAATGAACAAACTTTGACAAAAATTGTGGGTCATAACCTATAAAATTTGCAAATGTTAATGCACACACTTAATTTTCATTTGGTCGAAATGAAAAAAAACTGTAAAATTCGTTGGTTAGCTCACAAAAATCATGAATATTCAATTATGCATACTTCATTGCTATTTTGTTGAAATGAACAAAATTTGTCAAAAATCATGGATTATAGCCTGTGAAAATAGTAAATTTTGATGACATATGCAGATATACTTAATTTTCGTTAGGTCGAAATGAACAAAAATTGCAAAAATCACGGTTTATTGCACATGAAAATCATGAATTTCAAAATATGTATACTTAATTGAAATGAACAAAATCTGAAGAAAAACGTGGGTTATAGCCACTGAATATTGCAAATTTTGATGTACATATACTTATTTTTCATTCGGTCGAAACGAATAAAAATTGTAAAGTTCATGAGTTATATCCCATGACAATCATGAATTTTGAATTATGCATATGTAATTGATATTTAGTCAAAATGAATGAAAATTGACTAAAATTATTGTTTATAAGCCATGAAAATCGTAAAATTTTATGTAATTGTTCTTACTTTCCACATAATATAGACGAGCACAAATTGAAATTGAAAAAAGTTATGGGTTATATCCTATGAAAATCATGAATTTTAACTAGGCGTACATAATTACCATTTGATCAAAATGAACAAAATTTAATAAAAATCACGGATTATATAGCCTACGAAAATCATGAATTTATAACTTTGCATACTTAATTGTCATTTGGTTGAAATGAATAAAATTTGACGAAAATCATGGGTTATAGCATATGAAAATCATTAATTTTGACATACGCATACTTAATTTCCATTCGGTCGAAAGGACTGAAAATTGCAAAAAATTATGGATAGCCCATGAAAATCATGAATTTTGAACCATGCGTACTTAATATTCATTTTGTCCAAATAAACAAAAATTCACAAAAATCTTGGATTATTGCACATGAAAATTACACATAGTTCACTTCCATTTGGTTGAAAAGAATAAAAATTACAAAAATTATAAGTTATTGCTCATGAAAAATCATAAATTTTAAATTGTATGCACTTTATTGTCATTTCATCAAAGTGAACGGAAGTTGACTAAACTTGTGGGTTATAGCCCATGAAAATTGTATTTTTATGTACTCGTACTAAATTTCCATTTGGTGCAAACAACCACAAATAGCGGATAGTATCACGTAGCAGCGAAGCATTGTTAAGGCTATTTGGGGCTATAGCGGCAAAAAAAGTCAAAAGTATAACGTCAAGTGGTCTAGTTTAAATATGTATAAATATTTTAAAAAATAAGAAAAATCTAAAATTTGTATAAATATATATTTAATGATTTATAAAGATCCTAAGCTTGAAATTGACGTGGAAAAATCACATATATAAACAACGTATTGTACAGAATGAAAAAATGTACCCGTTTATCAAAAAGATTGTTATTTGCCTCATTCTTTCATCTTTTTAGTTCCTCTAATAGAAATATTCTCAATGATAGAAAAGCATTGATTAGTAGCAACATAATTAAGTATTAACTATTGGAGACTTAACATAAAAATGAAATTTGCAAGCATAGATAAATAAGCAAAGCAAGATAATGTATATTTAGTTGCACCGACGACAATAAGGTGTAAAAAGTAACTCCGTTTATCCGGTAAGACTTATCCGATCATCGGAGGCGAGATTTAAGCGTCAAATTAAGGGTTTTGTTTGCATACATACTCATCAAACTACCTATAATTACAAAATTATTGCTAAATCTTGATTGTCTGCAAAAAATATATATCTCTCTCAAATTCTCTCAACTCTTCCCTTTCTTCCTCCACCTCATCTCCTCCCTCTTATCCTCCATCTCCCTCACCGTCACTCTTCTCCCTTCCCCCGCTATCCTCTTTACCTTCCTCATCCACTCCCCTCTGTAAATATTCCGAATTTGAGTGGCGTTTTAAGAAGAAAAGTGACAATGGGATGAGTGATTGTGGAAAGGGTGATGGTGTATGAGGGAGAGAGTGAGGAGGAGAGGGAGCGGATGTGAGAGGTAAAGAGGGGAGCGAAGGGAGGGGAGGGGGAGTGATGGTGGAAGAGGGAGGAGTCGGAGTGGGAGGAGGTGGAGGAGATGAGGTGGGATAGGAGGATAGGGGAGAGAGAGGTGAAAGGGATTGAGGAAAGGTGCTAGGTTTTTTTTGGCAAACAATAAAGATTTCTAGGTAAATTTGTAGATATGAGACTTTATGGGGGTATATATGATAAAAAAAATCTTATGTTGCCACTGTCAGCGACTGGACAGGTTTTATTGGCATAAACGGATTCACTTTTTATGTGTTATTGTCGACGATGCAACTAAATAATAAATATACGTTATTTGTAAAGAGCGACAACTTAATATACTAATCCTGGTAATTTACCTGTAATTTATCATTCAAGGACTTCATTCTCATTTTTTAATATGAACAATTGAATTTGAAAATTGAAAGTTAGTGAGTGATTACCCCTTGCAAAAAAAAAAAGTTATAGCCTATGAACATTGCGAATTTTAACTGTGTAATTAAATGTGTCTTGGTTAAAATGATTGAAACTTGATAAAAATTCTGGATTATATAGCCCAAGAATATCATGAATTTCGAACTACATGTACTTAATTGCTATTTGGTAAAGATGAACGAAATTTGACATTAGTTATGGTTCATATTCCATGAAAATCATAAATTTTTATATACTCATACTTAATTTTTATTTGGTGGAAACTAGCAAAAATTGCAAATCTTGTGGGTCATAGCCCATGAAAGTCATGAATTTAGAGGTATGCGTGTTGAATTGCTATTCGGTTACAATGAATGAAATTTGACTAAAATTGTGGGTAATTGCTCATTTTCATAGCAAATTTTGATGTTGACATACTTCATTTCCATTCAATTGAAATGAATGAAAAATCCAAAAATTGTGAGTTATAGACCAAATCATGAATTCTAAACTATGCGTACTTAATTGTCATTTTAGTCGATATGAATGAAATTTATCAAAAACCATGGGTAGCCATCAAAATCATGAATTTCAAACTACACATGTACTTGGTTATCACTAGGTCACAATGAGTGAATGTTAACTAAAATCGTGGGTTATAGCCATGAAGATTGTAAATTTTTATGTTATCGTGCTTAATTTCCATTTGATGGAAACAAGCACAAATTACAAAAATAATGGGTTAGCACATAAAAATCATGAATTTTGAACTATGTATATTTAATTTCTTATTTAGTCTAAATGAACGAAATTTGACAAAAATGTGGGTACGGACCATGAAAATCACAAATTTTGATGTACACATCCTAAATTTTCATTTGGTTGAAATACATAAAAATTACAAAAATCATGAGTAGCCCATGGAAAATCATGAAATTTGAAATTTGTGTACATAATTGTCTTTTGATCAAAATAAATGAAATTTGATAAAAAGCGAGGGTTATAGCCTATGAAAATCACCATGATGTACACATACTTAATTTCCATTCAATTGAAACAAACAAAGATTGCGAAAATTATAGGCTATGGCCATAATCATGAATTTTGAACTATGTGTACTTAACATCCCTTTGGTCGAAATGAATGAAATTTGACAAAAATTATGGGTTAGCTCATGAAAATTATAAATTTTGGTGTAGACATACTTAATTTCCATTTGGTTGAAACAAGCAAAAAATGTAGGTTATAGCCGATGAAAATCATAAATTGTGAACCACATGCACTTAATTGTCATTTGGTTGAAGTGAATGGAAATTGATTAAAATCATGGATTAGCTCATGAAAATAGTAATTTTTTGTGTACTATTTAATTTCCATTTGGTGTCAACAAGCACAAATTACAAAAATCATGGGTTATAACCTAGATTTTTTTTTTTGAATTATGCATACTTAATTACCATTTGGTCGAAGCGAATGAAATTTGACAAAAATTATGGTTATGGCCTATGAAAATCATGAATTCTGAACTATGCTTATTTAATTACCCTTTGGACGAAATGAATAAAATTTGACAAAAATTGTGGGTTATAGCTAATGAGAATCAATAGTTTTCATGTACACATTTAATTTTTCATTCGATCGAAAATAACAAAAATTGCAAAAAATGTGGGTTATAGCTGATGAAAATCATGAATTTTGAATTATGTGAATCATGAATTTTGAACTATGTGTATTTATTGCTATTTAGTCGATTTGAATGAAGTTCGGTAAAAATTGTGAATCATAATAGCCCATGAAAATCCCAAATTTTGATGAACATATAGTTAATGCCATTTGGTCGAAACTATATGTACTTAGTTGTAAATCATGAATGGAAATTGACTAAAATCATGGGTTATAGTCCATGAAAATTGTATATTTTTATGTACTCATACTTAATTTCCATTTGATGGAAACAAGCACAAAGTGCAAAAATTGTGCGTATAGGTCATGAAAATCGTAAACTTGTCTTTACATATAATTAATACCCTTTCAGTCCAAATGAACAAAAATTGTGAAAATTGTGGCTTCCCTTGAAAATCATGAGTTTTGAACTATGCATACTTAATTTCTATTTGTTTGAAATGAAATAAATTTGACAAAAATCTTGGGTTATATAGCCCATGAAAATCATTACTTTTGAATTATGCGTACTTTTGACATTTGGTCGAAATGAACGAAATTTGACAAAAATCGTGGGTTATTATAAGCCCATGAAAATCATGAATTTTAAACTATGCATATTTAATTGTCATTTGGTCCTTTTTTTTCTAATCTTCCTTCACCTGTAAATACTTGTGCATATTGTTGTTCCACTGAAATATTAAAACTCTGGCAGATTGAGCGGAGCGTCAGAGGAGGCTCCCTAAGAAACATTGAATCGGCCCGTCTATCTATTCCATCAACACTAAAGTTTGATGATTCAAAGAAATGGTGAGCTAATGTCCATAAACCAAAGATCTAACTTTCTGATTTTCTTATGCATCACAGTTCTGTTCCAATTTGCATTGTAATTTTTCTGGTAATGTCAGTTAATGCAAGAAAAATATTATATTCCGAGTTAGTTTCTCTGATTCTGAAAATCTTGGACAGTTATACATACCGAACTCCACTTGAAGAAACAGAGAGTTACTGGAGAGGCTGGTAAGTTCCAAGTTTTCGCTACTCATGATGTAATTTGGTTTTATTTTTTTATTTTGGCTTGGAGGCAATTTGGTGTTTTTTCGTTGTTTGTATCCCAAAAACACTGTCTAACTGAATTTAAATGTACCACCAATTTTAAGTTCTTTTTTTTTAAACATTTTTGCTGCATCTTCAAGTTTATTGTGGCAGATAGTTGGAAAGAAATTCATGCATAAAGGTTAAACTTCCATTAGTTCAAAGCTAATGGTCATGAAAGATTCTAAAAAAAAATATCAGTGGGAATAATTTGATTAACCAAGTTGAGGAGTTCTTGTGATAAACCAGAAACCAGAGGGTTCTAGGATAATTTAATTTCGTTAGGGTGGAATAGCTGGCAGTCTTGCACATCAGAGTGCAATAATATTGATTGAGACATCAAACAAGACACCATGAGTACTTGTTTAATAAAGGAGCTGGCCTTGATAAGGTAGCTGACTTAGAAAGTCTTTGATACTAATATTGAATATCCACATACGCGATTTAGATCTAGACTTTTTTAGTGTGGCAGATCAAAACCGTGGAAATGTTTCTTCCTTGAGTTTATATTTGTGCATGCATGATTGAGTTTTGTCTTTCAAGGGTAATTATATTCCAACATGGAATTGATTGCCTTCATTGTCCACTAATAGGTCCAGTAATGGACCTAAATACATGTAAACAATGTGAGTAGGCTTTGGCTATGTTTAGGCAACGTGTGACATTGCAAACATATCAATATACCTTTGGACATGGGCAAATCATGCCTCGTGTAGAACAAAGAATTAAAAAGTTTATAAGCATTATTATCATTGACTTGGTCTAAAGCTGATGCTCATTTATTCATGTAATATAGGTCTTTCGACTCAATTGTCACTGAACAACGATTTACTGAATAACACTATATAAATATATAAAATAAATATAGGGTAACCTATATCAATCCTTCCCTCCATTTAGCCCTGCTAAGTGCCACCTAGTTTGTGTATTAGTAAGTGTTATATCTCCTTCAGTAGCTCAAAGCATGTTCCTTTCACTCCAATCGTAGTCGTCGTTCTGTAACTACTACATAACTCTAGTGTATGCATCTAATGTACTCGTCACTCTTTTTGGCAATTAGTTTGACCATCTTGAGCAATTTCTTTCTATCTTATCCTCAAATAGGGCTACACTTTAACTTGTCTTGTATACACTCATTTGTTATTCTATCTTTACAGTTCTGCCTCTCGTCCCTCTTATAATTTGTCTGTAAAAATCTCTTGGGTATGTTGTTTTTAAATTCCCAAACATCTGGATCTATAAAACATGGCTGGTTGTGTATCTAGCGTATGAAAAATAAGTTCCTTCAACTTTGTGTCAGTTCTATATCATATCATATGGCCTAACCTCATGCACTTTAATGAAGTTTTATGCTGATTGTTAGATCCTAATGCAGCAGTCCCTTGGTCAAATTCCTGAACTTTGATCTTGCTTAAAAATATAGGATATTTAGCATAGAAATATAAACTATAGATTGAAGAGGAGAGAAAAGAAATGCTCGCTGAACTTGATGCTTTTATGCCTAAGCAGTTTATAAAATTTGATAAAAATATTCTCATTTCTGAATTTTGAACATGAAGATTATAGTGTTTTTTTAGCTTGAAGTTCTAAATCCAAAAATTAAATTAAATTTTCTAGTTAAAAAGCCGTTGTTTTCATGATTTTTAGTTCAATATTCAAGGCATATTTTAACTTACAGCTTCATTGCATTTGTCAGGTATGAAGGCCTTTCTGAGAAGTTCTTATCATGCCCAGTGCCAAAGCTCTTATTGTTAGCAGGAACGGATAGATTAGACAGGTTTCAATCCCTAACAGAACATTTCATATTTCCCCCTCTGTTTAAATAGCAATTTGCATTGACTAGCAATTTCTCATTTGTACTGTTTTACTTCTCATTATTGCCCTTTCACTAATTGACCTTGCTACTGAATCAGTGTTTTGGATTGTTGAAAACCTGCAGTTAGTTTTAATACATAACCATGAGAAAATTTCCACTTGGAACTATCGATCATTTGTCTGTGGGTAATACTGCATACTTGGCCTAAGGCATATATGAACTGCTAAGCTACAGATGTGCTACAGAATCAACAAAGAATATTCACTCTTAAGCATGTGAAGTGAGGCCAACATCATAGATGAGTGCATAATTCTTTTTCACGAATACTTTTCTGATAGTAAATCTTATTATAACTACTAATTGTTCGAGTCAAATAAAACATGCAGCTTACAAGAGATGTTGAAATCAAATAAAAATGTTCTTTGTCTGCAAAGTACCTCATGATATCAGCAAAGCATGTAATTATCAGAAATTCTTCTTCCTTTGCCTGCCCCATAGTATGCCTCTTAAACTGAGATAACAGCATAGTTCAAAACTTTTCACCTTTGTTCAACAATATCATATGAAGGTTCAGGACATTGAAAATTGTGAATGAAACATTTTGAACGAATCGGAGCAATTCAAAAAAATAAACATCTGAGATAGTCATATTCATGCATTCACTATCTTTT